TATTTTATAATGCATAATATATCTAATATAGAACTTTAGTAAAGTAGTAATCAAGTTTTATGATATCCAACTGTCTGATGAGGTGGTTTTGATCAAGCATTTTTGGTTTTTATTTATTACTTTGTATAGTCTTAATCAGTCATCCATTGCTTGTTTTTTCTACATCTTCATGATTTTTTTAAATGTTCATATTTTTGTACAAAGTATTTTACAAGAATAATCCATTTCTGTGGATTTAGTTTATAAATCTGCTTAGAAAAATAAAGCAATTTCTAGAAGAGATCTTTGGATTTTGTTTTTGTATGAAAAGATTCAACAGGCAGAGATACTGTATTAGTGCTTTCTGTTGTTGTTCAACCAATGAAATTACTTCTCATTTTAAAAATACACTTCTGTATTTTTTCTGTTGCACTCCGACCACAGGACTGTCACTTCACTGTGAGCAGAGGAGGTGCTGTGTGGTTGACCCGAGTACTTAGATATTGTTTAGTTTAGAACTTCCTCTTCTCGGATTATCAACTACGTTTACTATGGTTGTCGACAAGTGGAAACATACATGTCACAAAATACAAGTTTTTATTCTTGGTATATTGAATACGTGTTTGCATTTTGTGTCCTGTAAATTCTAGCAGCTTCCAGAAATAGTAAAGTGTCATGTTTTTCTTTCTTCTAAATACATATGCTACATGACCAATAAAAAGCCATCTTGTTGTAATGAACATACAGTTATAGTACAAAATAAGATATCCATGACGTTCTAAAACAAAATAAAGGCCAAATAAAACTCAACAATTATGATGTATTGATGTCACAGTAAGAGATTATTAAAGAAATTGAAATGTGAAGTAACTAAGAGGAGTAAGCCTTTTGCAGAAGAGTTGCAACACGTGGCAATAATCATAAATGCTTGAAGGGTGGGCAGCTTGTGAAAAACCGTTGAGCAATGCACTCCTATGACATCATAGACCCACAATGGAACGTTTTAAAAATTGATCAACAGACATACCTAGTCATTCTTATATGAAACATCAACCAGATCTGTCTGGATCTATAAAAAAGGCCTGATTCAACTATTTCCATATATATTACCCAACATCCGTAAACCGACTTTTGTATGAAATCATCTACTGTGAAGAGTCTTGTGGTGAACAAAGTGAGTCAGTAAAGTCAAGATGAACAGCACTTTTTAAATTAAGTTAGCTAATTTAAGTTAAAGGTGGGGTATGTAATTTTGGAGAAACCAGCTCGAGTGCGCTAGAATTTGAAAATACACAACCGGGAAAAACATGCCACTTCCACAGAGCCCCTCCTCCAACACACAAAAACGCGCACATGACCAATGAGGGCACGAGATAAGTTTGTGCACAGATGGAAGGCTGACAGGCAGGTAGGCCATCCAGTTATTTTAGCAGGGCCCTAAAATGATTGGTCGTGCTTTTTACAGTAGCCTACTACGGCTTCCACAGATTACATTTTTTAATGTATTTATTGTCAAAGCATTTAATATATTCATTGCTATCGGGATGTTAAGAGCATTCCATGGAATATAACAAAAAGTGTTTCTGAAATAAATTACATACCCCACCTTTAACTTCAGCCACGATGAGCTGCAGCAAAACCTAAAATAATAAAAGTTGTTTCCATTCCTATGCATTCAACTTTTATTTTGTTAAAGAAAATTATTTAATGTTGAAATATGTCAGACTGCTTTAAGCACATCTAAAGGCTACAGTTGTTAAATCTAAGGAATTTAATATCAAGGGATGTTAGCAAAGATTAAGATCTGTTTGTTTAGGGAAGTTGGTCCTAATTGGCTAGGCTACAGCCATAGCTTCTCATGAGTTCCTGTGCTTTTCTACCATGATTGTAACTGAGATCAACATTAACCCCTGCTGTTGGTGAGCACAGCTATATTGAGAAAATCATCCGTGTCTCACGTGCACACTTTTGTGGCTTGACTCATTAGAGTCTCTGCACATCCGTAAACTCTGCAGCATTTAGTGCAGTGGCGACTCTCAGCTGTGTTTATCACCTCTTCCTCATAATGATGATACCCCGGACATATGTCTGTAAACGGAACTGAGCTATCAGCGGAGGAGTTAGATGGAGTCAGCTGTCGTGTTTTAGGTAAATTAAACCTCCATAGCGGTCACATCCAGAGGAAACTGAGTCAGATCTTCAGAGACTGAACGAGGAGGAAGTTTGAAAGATGGACAACGAAGGCAGTCCCATCGCCAGGGTGGAAAGGACTTTCTGGACAGTCTGGGTGAGCTGCTGCATCTTCTAAATGTCAAACGTGTGATTTGTGAAGTGCTTACATTTCAATGTCAGGAGAAGTTAAATGTGTTGGCAAAGTCTCTCTCTTCCTGTGTCCGTGAAAGTCTCTCTCTCTCTCTCTCTCTCTCTCTCTCTCTCTCTCTCTCTCTCTCTCTCTCTCTCTCTCTCTCTCTCTCTACCTCTCTCTACCTCTCTCTACCTCTCTCTCTCTACCTCTCACTCTCTCCCTCTTACTAAAATTCAAACTTTATTGGCATGATCATGTATCAGAAACATGATACAACAGTAAAATATTAAACAATATTGTATAATGAAAAATCAAGGAAAGAAGCTGTATAACTAATGAGCATTATCAACCAAATCAAAATGATGATAATGAAAATAATACCAATGTTGTATAAATAACAGTTCACTTGCACTTATTCACTTACACAATGAAAAAAGAAAAGAAAATTCCATCCTTCACATTATGGATGAAAAACACATACAACTAATGTAATATAAATAGTGACGAACAAGTAGGAAGAAAGCATAATAAAAAAATCTCTCTCTCTCTCTCTCTCTCTCTCCTGTGTGTCATACGAGGTGTTAAATGTAAACCTGAGTACTGATGTACACAACAGATCCAAATATATTTGGACACCCAAACATTACAACTCTAGTGCTCTCCACAAGCTTTATTTATTTATTTATTTACAGGCCTGTTAAATCTTTTTATTGTTTTTCTGACACTTTCACAAAACGTGAATGGAGAGAAGAGTTTGCCACCAATTTCAGTGAATATAAGCAGCTGCAATCCCAAATTATTGCAAACTGAATTTTGTATATATATTGATTTGAATAGTTGCTTGTCACTCATATTGTGCGTCATCAGCTGGTCTGCTGTACACTGATTGAAAAAGTCTAGGTTTGACTAGTATTTTGCATTGATGTGAAAAATATGATTTGCTGTATCAGTTCTATCAAGGAGTTTTCCAGGGAAATAATTAGGAATTAATGGACCTGTAAAATAAAACATTACTTTACTTCCCTCATTCAGCCACTAGAGGATTAGTGACGTGTTGTTTTGGTTGATAAGGCCTGCACTAAACCCCAGACAACATTAGCATAGAGCAGCTGAACTACTGCAGCATTTAGTTACTAAGAAGACGGATAAAGTGTTCAGTTTAGTGAGAAAAGCAAATAAGAGCTAAAGGGAAACTCACATTCATCAGTTCTCTTGCAAGATTTCACCACATAAGCGCTAATGTTTCCGAGGTGCAATATGAGGTTGAGGTTTTTGCAGGCCGGGGGAGATCTTAACACCAAACTCAGATAACCATTTACAGACATTGCTTTGTGTATGGAGGCATTGTTATGTGGAAACAGGAAAGGGCCTTCCCTAATCGTAGCTGCAAAGCTGGAAGGAAACTAAATAGCCTTGTATAGTGTAACATTAAGATGTCCCTTAGCTAGAACTAAAGGGGTTACCCCATACCATGAAACACAGCCTTAGGTCAAATGCATAGGAAGGTATTCAAACAGGGGGGTCATATTTTGATTACATATAACAAATGTTCATGACGTGCATAATGGGGACAATATGTGTGGATTCATCAAAAGCATAAATAATCCATTAAATCTGTCTTATTTTGTCTCCTTATTGTTCTCAGAACTATATAACTGGGGCTGTGAACAGATTCCTCAGGCCAGACCCTGCTGACATCTCCAACAACGACCCGAACTCCATCAATGAATCTGCTGTTGACGGGGAATCCGCTCACTTTGGTCACACAGATATTGGAAAGGGGGTCGATGAGGAACAGTCTCTTCCCTCAGCCTCTCTGCTAAGCTCATCCCGACCACTTGTTGCCTGGGATCATTGCACCACAAACATCGACCTTAGGCCTGATGAAGAAAGCGTGCAGTACAAAACCCAGTCCAGCAGAGGCAGCGAGAGTAATGACTCTGAAGAAGGTCCGGGCACGAGAGAGGAACAATTAGAACAAAAAGGAAATGACAATGCAAGGCTGCAGGGCACAACAGAAGACGAACAAGAAAAAGACCAAGATCAGAAATTGGACACTCGTGGACAAGATGAGACGCCAGAGAATAGACAGGATGTAGATCATGCAATCACCCGGTCATTAAGACATACAGGTGATGCAATGACTAAAGACATGGAGGACAATGAAATACAAACTGGTGATGACCAAAATAAGAAGGCTATGACACCAGAGGATCGTCAAAAAATGGACGAGGCCATTCAAGAACAGGAAGAAGAGGGGCATGGAGATGAAGATGATGACGGTGGTGAGGTAAACTTGATCACAATCACAGATTTCAGTCTAGAAGTTGAGGATAAAATGGACGTAGAGGAGGCTAAGCTACAGAGGAATGAGGCAGATAGAGAGGCGACGCCTGAGGAAGTAGAAAACAAAGATGGCGCGTCACAGCTGGCCTCTGAAAATGAGAACAAGTTTGATGAGAGAGCAAAACAAGTCTGTGAAGAGTTCTCAGACGATGACAACGATTTAAGGAAGACCCAGGCTTCTCTTCACTTCATGTTGAACTCCAAAGAAACCAAAATAAAGATGGCAGCCTGTCTGAGGAAGAGCTTAATGTCGTGGAGCAAGAGCATGCTATGGCTGATAGAAGGGAAAGTGATACAGCTGAGGAGGAGGAGGAGGAGGAGGAGGAGGAGGAGGAGGAGGAGGAGGAGGAGGAGGTGGAGGAGGTGGAGGTGGAGGAGGTGGAGGAGGTGGAGGAGGAGCAGAAGAGCACATTGGATGAGGGGGATGTCAAGGAAGAAAGTGTGAGTGAGGCTACAAACAACCAGACGATAGATGAAGCATCGGAGGAGGAAGACAACATCAAAACAGATACGGAAGACCGTCAAGAAGCAGATATATTAGCTGAATGTGTTACATGCAGCGAAGAAGATGAGCAGAATGATAAAACAGAGCTACAAGCAGCTGAATTCACATATGGAGAACAGGAGGATGAGGCGAAGGATACTGAAGTGCAAACCAAAACAAAAGAGACAGATGTTGACAAGACAGAAAGCCATGTGGTCGATGAAAAATCTGATGTGACAACAACCAACTTTTCAGTAGATTGTGATAAAGATCAAGTAGAGAAGGAGAGGCTCTCAAGGGAAGTAGTCCACGAGGAAAGTTACATGGAAATAGCATGTACAACCACCTCAGTTACGGTAAGACCTGAAGGCGAGACTGGAGAGGAAATGAGCGCAGAGTGTAAGGATATTCCTCTGGGGATATGTGAAGGCCAGCTTGTTGTGTCGCAGGAGCTAAACTCTCCGACACGTGAGGAAACACAAGAGGGAGTTCCTGACTACAACAATAAGCCAGATGAAAACACAACACAAAGGTTCCTGGAAGAAGGGGATTTTGAGGAAATCCTGGGCAGCCAATTACAAGAAGAGGTGGAGGGCAAAGAGTCGGAGAGCCTTCAAAACAGTGGCTCCAGCACCGGAGCTGACTATTTACTGGAGAGGGAGCGAAGGGAAGAAGGAGAAGAAAGCACGAGAGATATTGAGAACAGCTTTGACGACAGGCCAACAGAAGATACGGAGAAACAACTTCTTGAAGCAGTGATTCAAGAGTCAGGACATTTCTTTGAAGAAGAGGAAAAGGAATTACTGTTGGTCTCAATGAAGTCGAGGATCGTACACTCAGAAAAGGAGCTTGAGTCCCACATCAGCCTAACAGACGAGACGGATAAGGCGGCAGAAGAGCCACAAGATGGGACTGAAGATCTTTTGGTTGAATTTGACATAGAAAAAGGGTCATTTGATTACAAATTATCTGATCAAGTTGGCAGTGAGGCGAGGGAAGCTGTCACAGCAGAGGAAGTGCTCTGGTCCACTGATGAAACTTTCCTCGAGTCTGAAATAGAGACAAGCTTCTTCCAGGAATCTGTAGATGCCCGAAACTCGAAGCAAAACAAAAACATGACTCCTAGTTTTTTAGATAACGTGACTGACTTTGAAGATATTGGGCATAAAATACTTGTAGATGTAGAAATGCACGATGCAGGGATAGATGTGGAAGAAATGGGTTATGGAATCGAACAAGAGGTGGAAGAAGATGTAATGCAGAACAATAGTGAGTTGGAGATTGTACATCAGAAGGTAGAGGGGATTGCAGAATCTGAATTGGAGATGAGAAATCAGCTATCAGATGAAGCACTTAAGATAACAAAGGAGGAGATGTTGACTCAAGAGGCCGGGGAATCAAAGACAGCTGAGTCTAAACCAAAAGATATGAGTGTGTTATCAACAGAAGAAGTGGCTGAGCATGTGACAGAATCAGAAGGGAGTTATGATGAAGAAACAGTCTGCTCAACGAGTGGACGTCAGGATGTGATCGATGAAGAAATCCTTGATTGGTCGATACAAACGGCTTTGTCAGAGGTCACAGAAGGCATAAAACAACAAGACGAACCAGAGCCCAGACATCAAATTGAGCCGTCCAATGAGGAACAAGATGAAATATCATCAGTTCAGACAGAGAATGATAAAGAGCAGCTTGTGGCGTCAAATTTAAAGGAATCTGAATTAGTGAGTGACACAGAAACGTCTTCATCAACAGTAGAGTCTGGATTTGTAGACCAGTCTCTCAGTGAAGGGGGGGGAACTCAGCTGCTGAAATCAACTAGTGCTGGGTCATTTCAGGGCATATACGGCATGTTGGTTAATCTGTCAGAATCAGCAGACTTCGCTGAATTGTCAACACAACAACTTGATATATTGATGGAGGAAACCGCTGAGACAGGGCGATCATATCTGAAAGAAAAGAAATCAGTCACTGAGACAGGATTTCAGCCGGATGCAGGAGTCCCGTCACCAGACGCTGGACATCTATATCAGGAGTCCGATAAAGCACAAGAAAAATCAGATGATGAAAGAGCTATATCAGGGGAGGCTGAAACGGTATCACAGACAGAGATTGAGGCTGAGGTAACTGACTGGAAAGACACAAAAGAGGCAGACCCTCTATTCAAAGAGGAGAAACCAGAAACTGAAGATGAGCCTCTTCAGAGACCTGTCTCTCCAGATAAAATTAAACATATTGAATCCGGACCACCCCAAAGTGGCTCAGAGGCTTCTTCTTCAGGGGCTGAAATAGTGATGACAGAATCTGGTTCACAAGGCGACGCCTGCACCGAACCACCACTTCGATGGTCAGAGGTTGAAGCTGAATCATTACCTGGGCCAAATGAAGTGGAGGTGGAGGAACAGCTGATGGCAGAGTATGAAGACCTGTTGGAGGTATTGTTGGAAAATAACATATATGACCATACAAATGTCTTATTAAGTCATGAATAAAATCAGGCAGTATTCCTAAAATACGAAGATCTGTTAAATGAGCTGTTTGTCATTGCAGGTGGACTCCGCTGCGCTTGACTTTACTGTGCAAAGGTCAAGAATTGCTGTTAAAGACCCTCGTGTAAGGCCGCCCAAAGACCCCCGCTCCCTCCTGCAGATGCCCTCAGTGGATCCCACACCGTCTCCACGTCTGCCAGCCAAAGTCCCTGCAGGAGTGCCTTTAGGAGGCATGGGCATGGGAATAAAACTGCCTGGTAGGTCACTAATGACGCATGGAAAAGCCACTACCTTGAGTCTTTGATTTGTAGTTATTTTTGTTTGTATAATCTGTCAATAATTTAACAATCTTTTTGTTTTTTTAGGGTTTGGGGCAGGGTTTCCTGTTTTGAAAAAGACACAACGGGTGGAGAGGGATGAAAATAGCCCAGACACCGTCTCTCAGGTAAACTTTCAATAGCACTTTTCTTTTATGTTGAGGTTTATTTAAAAACGACCATATGGAATGTGTGTGTGTGTTTATTATTATTATTATTATTATTATTATTATTATTATTATTATTATTATTATTATTGTTAATTACTGTATTTAAATGTCACAATATCAACAGGAGCCGGAGGAGAAGAGTGACACTCCCAAACAAGATGAGGCACAACAGAAACCTAAATGGATGCCACCAAGACATCCGGGGTAAAAACTCAGATAAATCTCAGATTATTGATGTTATAATATTCACAAAAGAGGCTCACTGTGGTTAGACATTTTCTGATTTCTTTATTTTGTGTGTTCCCAGATTCGGAAACCCACTGATGTCCGAGCTGAAGACCAAACTGAAAAAAAACACGAAAGAATGACATGTGGATGAATTGTAATGCTTTATATGAATGTTTGGATATAATATACAAATTGCTTTATTTTGTATGTATTTATGAAACTCAATGCAGTGATGAAATGTTCATCACATTCATTATGTGCCTTATTTTTTGTATGTTTTGTAATAAAGCTTATCTGAAAAAAGAGTATTTTTTCTATAGCTCTGGGGTGCAAAGGCAAATAATAAACTTCTGAAGTCCATCGTTGAAACTCTGGGGGTGGATGGTGGAAAACATGAAACCAAACACAGTTTTGAATTTGCTCAGAGCCTCAAGTCATATTATATGTGCATTACATCAGAGTTGGTTCAATTCAAAGATGTAAAGGTTTTATTTGCATATGCACAGTAGCTACAGTGTAGTTATGGCAATGAATAGCTCAATTCCCAGTCTCCTTCAACCATGCAACATAAATATATGTATGACCTAATACAACAAAAAGTGTGCAAAAAGAGACAGAATAGAAATAAATTAGTGCAAGAGAATGTTGCAAGTGAGGTGACCAATATGCAAGTATTACAGGAGAATAGACAATATACATGTAAAATAGACTAAGATAAGCTAAATAACTTAAAGTGTGGCTGATATTTGTATACATTGATTTGGGCACATACTCAATATGTTTTTTAGTCGAGTTTTGTTGAGACAGTAGATGTCAGTATTGCTGCGTCACATGGACATCATTAAACGCACGAAGAAGAATCATTCAGCTGTGATTGGTTAGAATCATCCAATGAGTGCGAAGTGTTCTGATATTTGAAGAACCGGAGTGGCGCTCCAGCCTGTGGTTGTAAATTCATGACATTCCGATGTTTGTTCAAAAAATAGTCACCAGTTGAAGAGTTTAATTTACACACTCACACATCAAGGACAAAGGTTTGGAGACTTTTCCCAGAGACAACGCTCCCTTCAGCAGTGGCTGTTGAGTTAGGTAAGTCAAAGTCGTTTCCGTCAAACTGTCGTTCCTATGCTACTATTAGCTTCGCTTCGTTCGGGACCTTCTCATGCTTCAGGCATAACGTCTCTACTGTAACTTCTTGACATAAAATGTACGAAACAAGATGTGTCAATGGTTTATTTTAAATGCCTTGTTGTGTATGTAAACTGCGCTGCCTGAGACGCTTCTCTGCTGGTCGAAATTGCAATGTTATTGTATCTAGCAAATGAAATGTTTTCCGGCGAACTAAACGGAAGTGAAAATACATCACAAAGTGGTGGTCAGTGGTCAGTTGGCTTTATTGAATAGTGAAAAGTGTTTTTGTTTTCATCTATATTGATGTACGCAATTGCTTTTTACTAAGAAGTCTATACATTAAAAGTGGGTTTTTTCAACTTGTGTTAACACCAACACATAAATAATAATATTACATACATTTGGAGGCACCTTCCATAACACCCAAGGACACTTTTCAATTCATAAAATATTCTCAAAAAGGCAAAAAACATTCAAACCAGACAGAAACACAAACATGTTAAACATACAAGAGGCAGAGTAGACAGACCCAAGAAAGGGGGGCAAGGACAATACTATTTAGGGAAAAGGGCCATGTACACCTTACATTGTGATCTTGTGATGTCAAATCTAAAAGGAATTCTGACCATGTTTTCATTCACAGGCTGCATGCACAGAGAGGCTGAGAGGACACCTGAAAAAATGTCTGCTTGGCAATCAGTGCGCGGCTTGGATGCATTGCTGGAAGAGGAATGCTTGCCAGAAGTTACGCTCCTTGATGATACATGTGACTCATTTCTTTCTGGTAGCATGCCAGCTACTCCTGTGACCGCTGGGTCTTTGAAAAGCTGGATTACTTCTCTCCAGCTTTCCCAACTGACTTCATCCCCAAATTCAAACACCAAGACTGAAATAATCCGCCCTCTGAATAAGAGCATGGACAGATACTTCCCAGATATTACTCTTCTTGATGTTACGCGGGATTCTGAGATATCACAAGTAGAGGACTTATCCTCCACGGACGTGACACAGGATAAAACACCAGTGGCTAATCTGGAAAGCAACCAGCCTCCCTCAGAGTTCAGCGAACAAAGTGGGACAGAGCCTGACAGGTCGTATATGGTTCCAAGAGAAGAATTGCCAAGTACTAGTACTATTACTGGACATGTCACCCACACCACAATCTCCTTTAGCGAAAAATCTGATAAAAGTGTGGGGGGAAACAGAACGCAAACATCTCTGGAAGTAACGCAGGATATTTCTTCAAGCAGTGTTTTTGAAAACAGTAGGCCCTCATTGGAGCCCATCGGATCAAACATGGTGAAGATTGAAACATCAGCTGAAAAAACATTTGGCACCCATCCTGCTAATGTCACACATGACTTAAGCTCCTCGAGTGACATGTCTGCTCAGTGTGCTGCATCACAGCTCTCTACCTCTGATGGGAAATGCAACACTAGTTTAAAGAACGTCACCTCTGAGCTTCATGTTGAACCTGTGCTTGACTGTAATTCTGTGGAAGCCAATGACAAGTCACTTACCAACCATGATGCTGAAGTGACGACCAAGGAGACACAACCAAGCCCAAAAACATCTGGGTCTGCTAACGGCACGTTTACCTCCCTCCAGCCCTCGCAATCGAGTTCCTCTATGGATCTAAACGCCACTGCCGAAATAACTAGCCCTCAGAACAAGACTCTGGATCTCCCTCCATCTGATGTAAACAGCTGCAAAGCGAAGAGTCAGGTTACAGTAGACGCTACTTCAGTCATTAACAACACCATCGAAGGTTCCCAGAATCCAAATTATTCCGCTGTAAATGCCAGTGGTCCCGGTAACATGGTGAACGTCACTTTTCCCCGACATTCTCTTAAAACATCAAGTGCCGGTACCATTTTAGTGGAATCTGGTGCAGGAACATTTTGCCTCGAAAACAATACTTTCGATGCTAAACTTCTCCCTAAGCAGAACGGCACAATGACTTTGTCAGAATCAGGCCCACGTGACAGTCACCAGAGTACTTTTGACAAGCCCTCTCTTAATGCAACCAGTAGCCCTAAAGCAAACACTTCTAATGCACAACGTCCTAAACTGGTAGAACAGAATAGGACTACAGATACAGACCCTATTGCCAAGATGGCTGCCACCCCTGAGAGCAAGTTGGAAGCCTATACAGCTGTGAATTCTGGAGTTGATCGACGTAGAACTCAGGACCTTTCACAATCGGGTCTGCCTGTGATGGATGGTTTTTCCGACAGTTTGGCCCATCAAGGCATGGATACGTTCAACTTGGATGATACCCTTGATTTGAAGGTGAAATCTTTGATCACTTCAACCCCAATGCCTTCAAAAGAAGAGGGCAAAATCTTAGGGGGAGTGAAAAAAACTGTATGAGGATGGTCCCATTAAACCGGATGGTCAAGTGCCGTCTGAGGTCCCATCGAACCCCGTCTGTGACCGGAAAACTTTCATGGAGCTTGTAGCTGCAAAATCCCTTTTGCCTCCTTTGAAAACTGCATCCCAGTTGTTCAAACACAAGACAGCCTCCGCGCTTCCAGGAAGGTTTGAGGCGCGGCCATTCGGACAGATTATGACGAGACAAAGAGCAGAGGCTCTTAGAAATACTGCTGCTGCTGCTGCTGCGGATCCTCCACAGGTAGTAGAACTTGAATGGCTTTTTGTTTTCCACTATGTTTACAAAATGTTAACTGCACATTCGGTCAGATAAAAGCAATCAAATGAACTCAATTGACCATGTTAGATTCATCTGTTAAATCCACTTTTTTCATAAACAAGACTGAACAAAAGCTATAACTGCATGGAAGGCTAAACAGTCTGTTTCTTTTTTATGTTCTTAAGACTGCAGGAATACCAAGCTCATGCAAGTTACGTGCAACAACAGGTAGGTGGTGTCTATTTTATTTTTAGAATCGGGTTGGAACATTGCATTTTGTTCTTCATAAATGTTGAGGGTGAATTATTAATAGTATGGGATTATAATGGAAGGCATTAAATGTTAAAACGTTATGTATTATTTGTAGACAAAGCAGTATACTTTTGTTTCATTGTGCCGCCCCCCATTATTAACTTCAAGTCTAACTTTAAGCTGCAAACAGTATAATGCCCTTCAATATAAGATGTTCTGTCTGCACCGTATTCACTATAAACACTGTCTTTCCTCTGTGTTGATGTTAGGATCCAAGCAACCCAATTCCGGCTTGCAGAGGCCGCAGTTGAGTGGAATACCGACCGGGATCCAGAGAGCTGCGACAGGTCTCAGACCACTATCCATGAGAAACGACACATCATCTTCTTCAAAGCAGCCATTAACCAGAGGTGAACCTTTGCCACTAGCAAAGAGGAAGAAAATGGGTAAAAACTCGGTAGAGGAACGCTGTATTGATTCAGACTAGATGGTTAATATGTGCTAAGAAGCGAACTGACAACACCTATAACCAAAACTATTAGTTGAAAAATGTGTGATGGGGTTCGAAATCTGGACTTTTTTCACCTTACTAAAGACTCACTTACTTTGATCTTATAATTTCAGATACCACCTTCTCAAATGGTAATGCTGAAGCCTCAAAATCTTCCTGTGATACTGCAAACGGAATCAAAAACCTCAAACGGCCCACAACCACTAAGAGAGCTTTGCCAGCCAAAATCCAAAGGAAAGGTAGGTTGGCACTGTACCATACTGTTCTGATATGTGGAGGTATTTCGTCGTACTGTTATGTGATTTGCTGCTGAAGGGTTTCACGGTCTAGTGTGTTTAATAACTTGGACTATTTGGGAGTTACTTACCTTTTCACTATCACATTCTTTCCGAAGCTGCAGTGCTAGCCAGTACTCCAGCTGAAATCCCACCATCCTGTGCTGCTGTTAGCGGAGCCAAAGCCCTGAAACTGCCTGCGACCAGCCATAGAACGCCGTTTGCTAAACCTAAAAGCCGTGGTAAGTTGCGGGTGCTCAGGGAAAATACAGCCTTCTTCTAGCTGCGGCCTTGAGCTTTTGGCTATAATCTCTCATTCTGATGCTGAAGTTATGCTTGTCCATTAAGGAATGAGGAAAAAAAATATACAGGTGCAGCTCAATAAATTAGAATATCGTGGAACATTTTAAAAATCTGTTTTTCTATTGGTCCTATGTAATATTCTTATTTTCTGATATACTGAATTTTGGGTTTTCATTAGCTGTAAGCCGTAATCATCAAGATTAAGACAAATATACGCTGGAAATAGTTCACTTTGTGTGTAATGAATCTATATAATATGAGTTTCACTTTTTTTAATTGAATTACTGAAATATTAACTAACTTTTCCAGGATATTCTAACTTATTGAAATGCACCTGTATGTGTTTATGACAAGATGATATCTATCAAGGAAGCAGAAGCGTTACACAGAAGTTATACATGAGGAAGTCACCATCACTTATCCAAGTCTGGTTTACAGAAAAATAAAAAGATAAATAATTTGACACTGTCCTTATCCTGCTTAATGTAATGATTTCATTTGTATTACAGGCTGCGCCAACTGTGCCGCGCTACAACAGCAACTGAAAATGGCGTCGGAAGAAATAAGGAGACTAAAAGAAGGTAAGACTTTACTATGTGGTTTTAGGTAAATACAGTTTATTGCAAATGCGTTTAAAAAAAAAACATGCTGTAATGTTCTGGAATTGAAAAAATATCAGTGATTTTCACAATACTTTAGGTCAGGGGTTCCCAACCCCCGGTCCGCGGACCGGTACCGGGCTGCGGAGGTGTTACTGCTGGGCCGCGAAATAGCTGTGAGTTGATCGTAATATTTGCAGAATTATAAATATATAAAAATATTTTATCATAATATTTTTTTCAAAAAGTGTTTAATTTTCGCACCTATGCCACCAGTCATATTATTTCATCCAGTAGCTAGTTAATCTTTCACCAGAAAACCGGTTGAAAATGGCTTTTATGATGTTCCGAGGGATTCGGCGGCTCAGCCTAAGGTCTCAGCCTCTTGTGCGCACGAGCATGTTACCGGTGCGCCAAGTAGGAAGAGGAGCGCACAGGAGACAACCGTTTGATTTCAGACTGTTATGTTTATGTGGGGAAATGGTGTTGCATACATTATTTGAGATATATTTCAAACTCGGACTTCATTTTAAGGACATGTCAGCCAGGGGTGCTGTGCCTTTTTACGCACCGCCTTCGCTGTGTTTAACTTAATCAGAACAGTTTAAGAGTGACTGCAGGCTGCTACGTGTTAACCACACACACATCTACATACATCGAACTGCCCGATTACTCCCCCTTTTATTAGTTTTATGAAGGAGATGTCCAGTCAGTCACCAAGGCGCATGATGTGTGTATGTGCTCTGCTCAGCTCAGCTCTGTGTGTTCGGTGTGTTTGTGTCTGTCCGACAGCGGCATATATGCGGCTGTTCCCAAAATAAATTAGTTTAATCTTAATCTCGATGTAGTGCTATGCTGTCGGGAGTGCACCGGAACGAACGACACTATCATAATATCTTCTGAAAACAAATGCCAGTGACACACACACACACACACACACACACACACACACACACACACTCTGGCGACCGGACATCTCCTTCATAATGCGCCTTCTCCTCGTTTTCCCAGCATTCACTGGATTATCCGTAAATCATACAAACAAAACCAAAACGTTGATTTATCTGTTTTCCCGTTTTTTTCCGAAAAAACAACACCGGTTCTTTTTTAAACTTTGTTAATATGTTTTGGATGCATATTGTTCTAGTATTTGTTCAGGCTGTTACATACAATTAGCCTCTGTTGCTACCTGCTGGTGGTGAGTAAATATTAAAATCAGTTAAAATTGACAACCGGTCCGCGATTTTTTTTTAATGTATCTACCGGTCCTTGGCACAATAAAGGTTGGGAACCCCTGCTTTAGGTGACGTTTTTTTCTACCAATTCTAAAATAGTTGCCTAAGTAATGGCATGTTTTTTCAGAGTAGTGAATTGCTCTCATTTCCAACGTTTTTCTTTATGATTTTTAGGCAAATGTAACTCAAAAGCTAGAGTGAAACTGTATTGTGTCCCATAAGTCTTTAATGCAAATGTCCTTCTTTCCAGAGCTGCTGAAGAAAAGTAAAGAAGAAGAAGAATGCTAGAATATACAGAACATAATATAACAATTGTTTATTAATGAATGACAACTTGTGTTTTTAAATTGTTTGTTCAATAAAGTGCCATGTAATTTTAATACAAAAAAAAAGAAGGTGTGGTGAACTTAACATTTTGCCCGCTTGGTTGCACCATAACCCGGGGTCTGTCTCTCTGTATATCTGCCGGCGAACATCCTTTTACGTTGTAGCTCTAAACGTCACTTCCTTTCCTGACTTAAATGCCCGGCAAGGCTGTTGCACGCATTTAATTTGTAGCCACTTTACAGCCAAACTGGATTTTATAACCACCCAAAAGAGACAGACACAACACAGGGTAACTTTCACAAGGACGTAGGTGAGTCGGTCTCAACATTTGACTACACTTTTGTTTGTATAATCTGTCAATAATTTCACAATCTTTTTGTTTTTTTAGGGTTTGGGGCAGGGTTTCCTGTTTTGAAAAAGACACAACGGGTTGAGAGGGATGAAAATAGCCCAGACACCGTCTCTCAGGTAAACTTTCAATACCACAGGTTTATTTGAAAACGACCATATGAAATGTGTGTGTGTTTATTATTATTATTATTATTGTTATTTACTGTATTTAAATGTCACAATGTCAACAGGAGCCGGAGGAGAAGAGTGACACTCCCAAACAAGATGAGGCACAACAGAAACCTAAATGGATGCCACCAAGACATCCGGGGTAAAAACTCAGATAAATCTCAGATTATTGACGTTATAATATTCACAAAAGAGGCTCACTGTGGTTAGACATTTTCTGATTTCTTTATTTTGTGTGTTCCCAGATTCGGAAACTCACTGATGTCCGAGCTGAAGACCAAACTGAAAAAAATCACGAAAGAATGACATGTGGATGAATTGTAATGCTTTATATGAATGTTTGGATATAATATACAAATTGATTTATTTTTTATGTATTTATGAAACTCAATGCAGTGATGAAATGTTCATCACATTCATTATGTGCCTTAATTTTTGTATGTTTTGTAATAAAGCTTATCTGAAAAAAAGAGTATTTGTTTCTACAGCTCTGGGGTGCAAAGGGAAATAATAAACTTCTGAAGTCCATCGTTGAAACTCTGGGGGTGGATGGTGGAAAACATGAAATCAAACAAAGTTTTGAATTTGCTCAGAGCCTCAAGTCATATATGTGCATTACATCAGAGTTGGTTCAATTCAAAGATTTAAAGGTTTTATTTGCATATGCACAGTAGCTACAGTGTAGTTATGGCAATGAATAGCTCAATTCCCAGTCTCCTTCAACCATGCAACATAAATATGTATGACCTAATACAACAAAGTGTGCAAAAAGAGACAGAATAGAAATAAATTAGTGCAAGAGAATGTTGCAAGTGAGGTGACCAATATGCAAGTATTACAGGAGAATAGACAATATGCATGTAAGATAAGCTAAATAACTTAAAGTGTGGCTGATATTTGTATACATTGATTTGGGCACATACTCAATATGTTTTTTAGTCGAGTTTTGTTGAGACAGATGTCAGTATTGCTGCATCACATGGACATCATTAAACGCACGAAGAAGAATCATTCAGCTGTGATTGGTTAGAATCATCCAATGAGTGCGAAGTGTTCTGATATTTGAAGAACCGGAGTGGCGCTCCAGCCTGTGGTTGTAAATTCATGACATTCCGATGTTTGTTCAAAAAATAGTCACCAGTTGAAGAGTTTAATTTACACACTCACACATCAAGGACAAAGGTTTGGAGACTTTTCCCAGAGACAACGCTCCCTTCAGCAGTGGCTGTTGAGTTAGGTAAGTCAAAGTCGTTTCCGTCAAACTGTCGTTCCTATGCTACTATTAGCTTCGCTTCGTTCGGGACCTTCTCATGCTTCAGGCATAACGTCTCTACTGTAACTTCTTGACATAATGTACGAAACAAGATGTGTCAATGGTTTATTTTAAATGCCATGTTGTGTATGTAAACTGCGCTGCCTGAGACGCTTCTCTGCTGGTCGAAATTGCAATGTTATTGTATCTAGCAAATGAAATGTTTTCCGGCGAACTAAACGGAAGTGAAAATACATCACAAAGTGGTGGTCAGTGGGCTTTATTGAATAGTGAAAAGTGTTTTTGTTTTCATCTATATTGATGTACGCAATTGCTTTTTACTAAGAAGTCTATACATTAAAAGTGGGTTTTTTCAACTTGTGTTAACACCAACACATAAATAATAATATTACATACATTTGGAGGCACCTTCCATAACACCCAAGGACACTTTTCAATTCATAAAATATTCTCAAAAAGGCAAAAAACATTCAAACCAGACAGAAACACAAACATGTTAAACATACAAGAGGCAGAGTAGACAGACCCAAGAAAGGGGGGCAAGGACAATACTATTTAGGGAAAAGGGCCATGTACACCTTACATTGTGATCTTGTGATGTCAAATCTAAAAGGAATTCTGACCATGTTTTCATTCACAGGCTGCATGCACAGAGAGGCTGAGAGGACACCTGAACAAATGTCTGCGCGGCTTGGATGCATTGCTGGAAGAGGAATGCTTGCCAGAAGTTACGCTCCTTGATGATGCATGTGACTCATTTCTTTCTGGTAGCATGCCAGCTACTCCTGTGACCGCTGGGTCTTTGAAAAGCTGAATTACTTCTCTCCAGCTTTCCCAACTGACTTAAACCCCAAATTCAAACACAAAAGCCTCATCTCAATACCCCTCCTCGACTCCTCTCTTCCCCTCCTCCGGGACTTGACCCGGATATCGATCAAGACACGCCATGTTGAAGGACGTCCCAATAGCTGAAATGCACACGGAGGAGGGGTGAGGGGTGCGGGAGGAGACGAAAGGGAGGATACACGAGAGCAGACTACGCGGAAGTGTTTTCACTACTCGCGTATAAAAGCCCCGCCCCCACCTTCACAGCTGGTCGATTTCAAGAGAGGAAAACCGACAACTGGAAGATGAGTGGAAAAGCGTCACATAAATGTATAAGTGCTCACAGCTCCGTGGGAATTATTATGTGCAATTCATTTCTTAAGGTTATACTAACAATTTAAGTCATGTTTAATGATCTTGAACGTCACTAAAACATAGCTATTAAGAAAGCTATTTCATAAATGGCTAGATCTTGATAAATAACAATTATTTGTATTGTTTTGTGTTAAGATATTCAGGAGTTAAATTATTTAAAATGCACAGTCCTGAATGTGTGTTTGTGGTGAATGTGGGGATCTACAGGACACACATTTTCAGAGTAAAGGCTTTCACATAATTATATTTTTTATTTAAATGTAGGCTACATTTTACACAAACGGAACACAAAAGCAGGACCAACCATCATACATTGAATTCCTTGACTAACAACAGAAAGATTCATTCATTTAAATAAATATTTAACAACAAATGGGCCGGTTCTAAAGGGTTATTCAGTTAAGCCCGATGAGAGGGGATACAGCTGTGCACATGTCATCATTAACAGACGTCGTTTAAAAGTGACGTTTGAGTGAACGAGGACATCCCAATTAATACCTGAGGACTCCTCTGTCCTCGTGTCTCTCGCTCGCATCTTACGGAGGCGGAGCTAAGACGCAAGGAAGGGACGCGAGTGAGGGAAAGGAGGAGTCGAGGAGGGGTATTGAGACGAGGCTCAAGACTGAAATAATCCGCCCTCTGAATAAGAGCATGGATCTTAGCCAATCTGATGTAAACATGAAAAAGTTGTCAGAAATGAGATCAATTGACAGTAAAAGTGATAAAGAAAATAACAAAGGCTACTCTCCTGTACTGTCCAGACATGCTTGGACAACAGCTAACGACTCTGATGACAAGATGAAAGACCTCTCGGAGAGTATTTGTGCTCCTTTGGGCTGGCTGGATAGCAGATACTTCCCAGATATTACTCTTCTTGATGTTACGCGGGATTCTGAGCTATCACAAGTAGAGGACTTATCCTCCACGGACGTGACACAGGATAAAACACCAGTGGCTAATCTTGAAAGCAGCCAGCCTCCCTCAGAGTTCAGCGAACAAAGTGGGACAGAGCCTGACAGGTCGTATATGGTTCCAAGAGAAGAATTGCCAAGTACTAGTACTATTACTGGACATGTCACCCACACCACAATCTCCTTTAGCGAAAAATCTGATAAAAGTGTGGGGGGAAACAGAACGCGAACATATCTGGAAGTAACGCAGGATATTTCTTCAAGCAGTGTTTTTGAAAACAGTAGGCCCTCATTGGAGCCCATCGGATTAAACATGGTGAAGATTGAAACATCAGCTGAAAAAACATTTGGCACCCATCCTACTAATGTCACACATGACTTAAGCTCCTCGAGTGACATGTCTGCTCAGTGTGCTGCATCACAGCTCTCTACCTCTGATGGGAAATGCAACACTAGTTTAAAGAACGTCACCTCTGAGCTTCATGTTGAACCTGTGCTTGACTGTAATTCTGTGGAAGCCAATGACAAGTCACTTACCAACCATGATGCTGAAGTGACGACCAAGGAGACACAACCAAGCCCAAAAACATCTGGGTCTGCTAACGGCACGTTTACCTCCCTCCAGCCCTCGCAATCGAGTTCCTCTATGGATCTAAACGCCACTGCCGAAATAACTAGCCCTCAGAACAAAACTCTGGATCTCCCTCCATCTGATGTAAACAGCTGCAAAGCGAAGAGTCAGGTTACAGTAGACGCTACTTCAGTCATTAACAACACCATCGAAGGTTCCCAGAATCCAAATTATTCCGCTGTAAATGCCAGTGGTCCCGGTAACATGGTGAACGTCACTTTTCCCCGACATTCTCTTAAAACATCAAGTGCCGGTACCATTTTAGTGGAATCTGGTGCAGGAACATTTTGCCTCGAAAACAATACTTTCGATGCTAAACTTCTCCCTAAGCAGAACGGCACAATGACTTTGTCAGAATCAGGCCCACGTGACAGTCACCAGAGTACTTTTGACAAGCCCTCTCTTAATGCAACCAGTAGCCCTAAAGCAAACACTTCTAATGCACAACGTCCTAAACTGGTAGAACAGAATAGGACTACAGATACAGACCCTATTGCCAAGATGGCTGCCACCCCTGAGAGCAAGTTGGAAGCCTATACAGCTATGAATTCTGGAGCTGATCGACGTAGAACTCAGGACCTTTCACAATCGGGTCTGCCTGTGATGGATGGTTTTTCCGACAGTTTGGCCCATCAAGGCATGGATACGTTCAACTTGGAAGATACCCTTGATTTGAAGGTGGAATCTTTGATCACTTCAACCCCAATGCCTTCAAAAGAAGAGGGCAAAATCTTAGGGGGAGTGAAAAAACTGTATGAAGATGGTCCCATTAAACCGGATGGTCAAGTGCCGTCTGAGGTCCCATCGAAACTCGTCTGTGACCGGAAAACTTTCATGGAGCTTGTAGCTGCAAAATCCCTTTTGCCTCCTTTGAAAACTGCATCCCAGTTGTTCAAACACAAGACAGCCTCCGCGCTTCCAGGAAGGTTTGAGGCGCGGCCATTCGGACAGATCATGACGAGACAAAGAGCAGAGGCTCTTAGAAATACTGCTGCTGCTGCTGCTGCGGATCCTCCACAGGTAGTAGAACTTGAATGGCTTTTTGTTTTCCACTATGTTTACAAAATGTTAACTGCACATTCGGTCAGATAAAAGCAATCAAATGAACTCAATTGACCATGTTAGATTCATCTGTTAAATCCACTTTTTTCATAAACAAGACTGAACAAAAGCTATAACTGTATGGAAGGCTAACAGTCTGTTTCTTTTTTATGTTCTTAAGACTGCAGGAATACCAAGCTCATGCAAGTTACGTGCAACAACAGGTAGGTGGTGTCTATTTTATTTTTAGAATCGGGTTGGAACATTGCATTTTGTTCTTCATAAATGTTGAGGGTGAATTATTAATAGTATGGGATTATAATGGAAGGCATTAAATGTTAAAACGTTATGTATTATTTGTAGACAAAGCAGTATACTTTTGTTTCATTGTGCCCCCCCCCATTATTAACTTCAAGTCTAACTTTAAGCTGCAAACAGTATAATGCCCTTCAATAGAAGATGTTCTGTCTGCACCGTATTCACTATAAACACTGTCTTTCCTCTGTGTTGATGTTAGGATCCAAGCAACCCAATTCCGGCTTGCAGAGGCCGCAGTTGAGTGGAATACCGACCGGGATCCAGAGAGCTGCGACAGGTCTCAGACCACTATCCATGAGAAACGACACATCATCTTCTTCAAAGCAGCCATTAACCAGAGGTGAACCTTTGCCACTAGCAAAGAGGAAGAAAATGGGTAAAAACTCGGTAGAGGAACGCTGTATTGATTCAGACTAGATGGTTAATATGTGCTAAGAAGCGAACTGACAACACCTATAACCAAAACTATTAGTTGAAAAATGTGTGATGGGGTTCGAAATCTGGACTTTTTTCACCTTACTAAAGACTCACTTACTTTGATCTTGTAATTTCAGATACCACCTTCTCAAATGGTAATGCTGAAGCCTCAAAATCTTCCTGTGATACTGCAAACGGAATCAAAAACCTCAAACGGCCCACAACCACTAAGAGAGCTTTGCCAGCCAAAATCCAAAGGAAAGGTAGGTTGGCACTGTACCATACTGTTCTGATATGTGGAGGTATTTCGTCGTACTGTTATGTGATTTGCTGCTGAAGGGTTTCACGGTCTAGTGTGTTTAATAACTTGGACTATTTGGGAGTTACTTACCTTTTCACTATCACATTCTTTCCGAAGCTGCAGTGCTAGCCAGTACTGCAGCTGAAATCCCACCATCCTGTGCTGCTGTTAGCGGAGCCAAAGCCCTGAAACTGCCTGCGACCAGCCATAGAACGCTGTTTGCTAAACCTAAAAGCCGTGGTAAGTTGCGGGTGCTCAGGGAAAATACAGCCTTCTTCCAGCTGCAGCCTTGAGCTTTTGGCTATAATCTCTCATTCTGATGCTGAAGTTATGCTTGTCCATTAAGGAATGAGGAAAAAAAATATACAGGTGCAGCTCAATAAATTAGAATATCGTGGAACATTTTAAAAATCTGTTTTTCTATTGGTCCTATGTAATATTCTTATTTTCTGATATACTGAATTTTGGGTTTTCATTAGCTGTAAGCCGTAATCATCAAGATTAAGACAAATATACGCTGGAAATAGTTCACTTTGTGTGTAATGAATCTATATAATATGAGTTTCACTTTTTTTAATTGAATTACTGAAATATTAACTAACTTTTCCAGGATATTCTAACTTATTGAGATGCACCTGTATGTGTTTATGACAAGATGATATCTATCAAGGAAGCAGAAGCGTTACACAGAAGTTATACATGAGGAAGTCACCATCACTTATCCAAGTCTGGTTTACAGAAAAATAAAAGGAAGATAAATAATTTGACACTGTCCTTATCCTGCTTAATGTAATGATTTCATTTGTATTACAGGCTGCGCCAACTGTGCCGCGCTACAACAGCAACTGAAAATGGCGTCGGAAGAAATAAGGAGACTAAAAGAAGGTAAGACTTTACTATGTGGTTTTAGGTAAATACAGTTTATTGCAAATGCGTTTTAAAAAAAAAACATGCTGTAATGTTCTGGAATTGAAAAAATATCAGTGATTTTCACAATCCTTTAGGTCAGGGGTTCCCAACCCCCGGTCCGCTGACCGGTACCGGGCTGCGGAGGTGTTACTGCCGGGCCGCGAAATAGCTGTGAGTTGATCGTAATATTTGCAGAATTATAAATATATAAAAATATTTTATCATAATATTTTTTTCAAAAAGTGTTTAATTTTCGCACCTATGCCACCAGTCATATTATTTCATCCAGTAGCTAGTTAATCTTTCACCAGAAAACGGTTGAAAATGGCTTTTATGATGTTCCGAGGGATTCGGCGGCTCAGCCTAAGGTCTCAGCCTCTTGTGCGCACGAGCATGTTACCGGTGCGCCAAGTAGGAAGAGGAGCGCACAGGAGACAACCGTTTGATTGCAGACTGTTATGTTTATGTGGGGAAATGGTGGTGCATACATTATTTGAGATATATTTCAAACTCGGACTTCATTTTAAGGACATGTCGGCCAGGGGTGCTGTGCCTTTTTACGCACCGCCTTCGCTGTGTTTAACTTAATCAGAACAGTTTAAGAGTGACTGCAGGCTGCTACGTGTTAACCACACACACATCTACACACATCGAACTGCCCGATTACTCCCCCTTTTATTAGTTTTATGAAGGAGATGTCCAGTCAGTCACCAAGGCGCATGATGTGTGTGTGTATGTGCTCTGCTCAGCTCAGCTCTGTGTTCGGTGTGTTTGTGTCTGTCCGACAGCGGCATATATGCGGCTGTTCCCAAAATAAATTAGTTTAATCTTAATCTCGATGTAGTGCTATGCTGTCGGGAGTGCACCGGAACGAACGACACTATCATAATATCTTCTGAAAACAAATGCCAGTGACACACACACACACACACACACACACACACACTCACTCTGGCGACCAGACATCTCCTTCATAATGCGCCTTCTCCTCGTTTTCCCAGCATTCACTGGATTATCCGTAAATCATACAAACAAAACCAAAACGTTGATTTATCTGTTTTCCCGTTTTTTTCCGAAAAACCAAAAAACAACACCGGTTCTTTTTTAAACTTTGTTAATATGTTTTGGATGCATATTGTTCTAGTATTTGTTCAGGCTGTTACATACAATTAGCCTCTGTTGCTACCTGCTGGTGGTGAGTAAATATTAAAATCAGTTAAAATTGACAACCGGTCCGCGATTTTTTTTTAATGTATCTACCGGTCCTTGGCACAATAAAGGTTGGGAACCCCTGCTTTAGGTGACGTTTTTTTCTACCAATTCTAAAATAGTTGCCTAAGTAATGGCATGTTTTTTCAGAGTAGTGAATTGCTCTCATTTCCAACGTTTTTCTTTATGATTTTTAGGCAAATGTAACTCAAAAGCTAGAGTGAAACTGTATTGTGTCCCATAAGTCTTTAATGCAAATGTCCTTCTTTCCAGAGCTGCTGAAGAAAAGTAAAGAAGAAGAAGAATGCTAGAATATACAGAACATAATATAACAATTGTTTATTAATGAATGACAACTTGTGTTTTTAAATTGTTTGTTCAATAAAGTGCCATGTAATTTTAATACAAAAAAAAAGAAGGTGTGGTGAACTTAACATTTTGCCCGCTTGGTTGCACCATAACCCGGGGTCTGTCTCTCTGTATATCTGCCGGCGAACATCCTTTTACGTTGTAGCTCTAAACGTCACTTCCTTTCCTGACTTAAATGCCCGGCAAGGCTGTTGCACGCATTTAATTTGTAGCCACTTTACAGCCAAACTGGATTTTATAACCACCCAAAAGAGACAGACACAACACAGGGTAACTTTCACAAGGACGTAGGTGAGTCGGTCTCAACATTTGACTACACTTTGGTTTGTATAATCTGTCAATAATTTCACAATCTTTTTGTTTTTTTAGGGTTTGGGGCAGGGTTTCCTGTTTTGAAAAAGACACAACGGGTTGAGAGGGATGAAAATAGCCCAGACACCGTCTCTCAGGTAAACTTTCAATACCACAGGTTTATTTGAAAACGACCATATGGAATGTGTGTGTGTTTATTATTATTATTGTTATTTACTGTATTTAAATGTCACAATGTCAACAGGAGCCGGAGGAGAAGAGTGACACTCCCAAACAAGATGAGGCACAACAGAAACCTAAATGGATGCCACCAAGACATCCGGGGTAAAAACTCAGATAAATCTCAGATTATTGATGTTATAATATTCACAAAAGAGGCTCACTGTGGTTAGACATTTTCTGATTTCTTTATTTTGTGTGTTCCCAGATTCGGAAACTCACTGATGTCCGAGCTGAAGACCAAACTGAAAAAAATCACGAAAGAATGACATGTGGATGAATTGTAATGCTTTATATGAATGTTTGGATATAATATACAAATTTATTTATTTTTTATGTATTTATGAAACTCAATGCAGTGATGAAATGTTCATCACATTCATTATGTGCCTTAATTTTTGTATGTTTTGTAATAAAGCTTATCTGAAAAAAAGAGTATTTGTTTCTACAGCTCTGGGGTGCAAAGGGAAATAATAAACTTCTGAAGTCCATCGTTGAAACTCTGGGGGTGGATGGTGGAAAACATGAAATCAAACAAAGTTTTGAATTTGCTCAGAGCCTCAAGTCATATATGTGCATTACATCAGAGTTGGTTCAATTTAAAGGTTTTATTTGCATATGCACAGTAGCTACAGTGTAGTTATGGCAATGAATAGCTCAATTCCCAGTCTCCTTCAACCATGCAACATAAATATATGTATGACCTAATACAACAAAAAGTGTGCAAAAAGAGACAGAATAGAAATAAATTAGTGCAAGAGAATGTTGCAAGTGAAGTGACCAATATGCAAGTATTACAGGAGAATAGACAATATACATGTAAGATAGACTAAGATAAGCTAAATAACTTAAAGTGTGGCTGATATTTGTATACATTGATTTGGGCACATACTCAATATGTTTTTTAGTCGAGTTTTGTTGAGACAGTAGATGTCAGTATTGCTGCATCACATGGACATCATTAAACGCACGAAGAAGAATCATTCAGCTGTGATTGGTTAGAATCATCCAATGAGTGCGAAGTGTTCTGACATTTAAAGAACCGGGGTGGCGCTCCAGCCTGTGGTTGTAAATTCATGACATTCCGATGTTTGTTCAAAAAAAATGGTCGTCACCAGTTGAAGAGTTTGTTTTAAAAGACTCACAAATAAAGGAAAAAGGTTTGGAGACTTTTCCCAGAGACAACGCTCCCTTCAGCAGTGGCTGTTGAGTTAGGTAAGTCAAAGTCGTTTCCGTCAAACTGTCGTTCCTATGCTACTATTAGCTTCGCTTCGTTCGGGACCTTCTCATGCTTCAGGCATAACGTCTCTACTGTAACTTCTTGACATAAAATGTACGAAACAAGATGTGTCAATGGTTTATTTTAAATGCCATGTTGTGTATGTAAACTGCGCTGCCTGAGACGCTTCTCTGCTGGTCGAAATTGCAATGTTATTGTATCTAGCAAATGAAATGTTTTCCGGCGAACTAAACGGAAGTGAAAATACATCACAAAGTGGTGGTCAGTGGTCAGTTGGCTTTATTGAATAGTGAAAAGTGTTTTTGTTTTCATCTATATTGATGTACGCAATTGCTTTTTACTAAGAAGTCTATACATTAAAAGTGGGTTTTTTCAACTTGTGTTAACACCAACACATAAATAATAATATTACATACATTTGGAGGCACCTTCCATAACACCCAAGGACACTTTTCAATTCATAAAATATTCTCAAAAAGGCAAAAAACATTCAAACCAGACAGAAACACAAACATGTTAAACATACAAGAGGCAGAGTAGACAGACCCAAGAAAGGGGGGCAAGGACAATACTATTTAGGGAAAAGGGCCATGTACACCTTACATTGTGATCTTGTGATGTCAAATCTAAAAGGAATTCTGACCATGTTTTCATTCACAGGCTGCATGCACAGAGAGGCTGAGAGGACACCTGAAAAAATGTCTGCTTGGCAATCAGTGCGCGGCTTGGATGCATTGCTGGAAGAGGAATGCTTGCCAGAAGTTACGCTCCTTGATGATACATGTGACTCATTTCTTTCTGGTAGCATGCCAGCTACTCCTGTGACCGCTGGGTCTTTGAAAAGCTGGATTACTTCTCTCCAGCTTTTCCAACTGACTTCATCCCCAAATTCAAACACCAAGACTGAAATAATCCGCCCTCTGAATAAGAGCATGGACAGATACTTCCCAGATATTACTCTTCTTGATGTTACGCGGGATTCTGAGCTATCACAAGTAGAGGACTTATCCTCCACGGACGTGACACAGGATAAAACACCAGTGGCTAATCTGGAAAGCAACCAGCCTCCCTCAGAGTTCAGCGAACAAAGTGGGACAGAGCCTGACAGGTCGTATATGGTTCCAAGAGAAGAATTGCCAAGTACTAGTACTATTACTGGACATGTCACCCACACCACAATCTCCTTTAGCGAAAAATCTGATAAAAGTGTGGGGGGAAACAGAACGCAAACATCTCTGGAAGTAACGCAGGATATTTCTTCAAGCAGTGTTTTTGAAAACAGTAGGCCCTCATTGGAGCCCATCGGATCAAACATGGTGAAGATTGAAACATCAGCTGAAAAAACATTTGGCACCCATCCTGCTAATGTCACACATGACTTAAGCTCCTCGAGTGACATGTCTGCTCAGTGTGCTGCATCACAGCTCTCTACCTCTGATGGGAAATGCAACACTAGTTTAAAGAACGTCACCTCTGAGCTTCATGTTGAACCTGTGCTTGACTGTAATTCTGTGGAAGCCAATGACAAGTCACTTACCAACCATGATGCTGAAGTGACGACCAAGGAGACACAACCAAGCCCAAAAACATCTGGGTCTGCTAACGGCACGTTTACCTCCCTCCAGCCCTCGCAATCGAGTTCCTCTATGGATCTAAACGCCACTGCCGAAATAACTAGCCCTCAGAACAAGACTCTGGATCTCCCTCCATCTGATGTAAACAGCTGCAAAGCGAAGAGTCAGGTTACAGTAGACGCTACTTCAGTCATTAACAACACCATCGAAGGTTCCCAGAATCCAAATTATTCCGCTGTAAATGCCAGTGGTCCCGGTAACATGGTGAACGTCACTTTTCCCCGACATTCTCTTAAAACATCAAGTGCCGGTACCATTTTAGTGGAATCTGGTGCAGGAACATTTTGCCTCGAAAACAATACTTTCGATGCTAAACTTCTCCCTAAGCAGAACGGCACAATGACTTTGTCAGAATCAGGCCCACGTGACAGTCACCAGAGTACTTTTGACAAGCCCTCTCTTAATGCAACCAGTAGCCCTAAAGCAAACACTTCTAATGCACAACGTCCTAAACTGGTAGAACAGAATAGGACTACAGATACAGACCCTATTGCCAAGATGGCTGCCACCCCTGAGAGCAAGTTGGAAGCCTATACAGCTGTGAATTCTGGAGTTGATCGACGTAGAACTCAGGACCTTTCACAATCGGGTCTGCCTGTGATGGATGGTTTTTCCGACAGTTTGGCCCATCAAGGCATGGATACGTTCAACTTGGATGATACCCTTGATTTGAAGGTGAAATCTTTGATCACTTCAACCCCAATGCCTTCAAAAGAAGAGGGCAAAATCTTAGGGGGAGTGAAAAAACTGTATGAGGATGGTCCCATTAAACCGGATGGTCAAGTGCCGTCTGAGGTCCCATCGAACCCCGTCTGTGACCGGAAAACTTTCATGGAGCTTGTAGCTGCAAAATCCCTTTTGCCTCCTTTGAAAACTGCATCCCAGTTGTTCAAACACAAGACAGCCTCCGCGCTTCCAGGAAGGTTTGAGGCGCGGCCATTCGGACAGATTATGACGAGACAAAGAGCAGAGGCTCTTAGAAATACTGCTGCTGCTGCTGCTGCGGATCCTCCACAGGTAGTAGAACTTGAATGGCTTTTTGTTTTCCACTATGTTTACAAAATGTTAACTGCACATTCGGTCAGATAAAAGCAATCAAATGAACTCAATTGACCATGTTAGATTCATCTGTTAAATCCACTTTTTTCATAAACAAGACTGAACAAAAGCTATAACTGCATGGAAGGCAAACAGTCTGTTTCTTTTTTATGTTCTTAAGACTGCAGGAATACCAAGCTCATGCAAGTTACGTGCAACAACAGGTAGGTGGTGTCTATTTTATTTTTAGAATCGGGTTGGAACATTGCATTTTGTTCTTCATAAATGTTGAGGGTGAATTATTAATAGTATGGGATTATAATGGAAGGCATTAAATGTTAAAACGTTATGTATTATTTGTAGACAAAGCAGTATACTTTTGTTTCATTGTGCCGCCCCCCCATTATTAACTTCAAGTCTAACTTTAAGCTGCAAACAGTATAATGCCCTTCAATATAAGATGTTCTGTCTGCACCGTATTCACTATAAACACTGTCTTTCCTCTGTGTTGATGTTAGGATCCAAGCAACCCAATTCCGGCTTGCAGAGGCCGCAGTTGAGTGGAATACCGACCGGGATCCAGAGAGCTGCGACAGGTCTCAGACCACTATCCATGAGAAACGACACATCATCTTCTTCAAAGCAGCCATTAACCAGAGGTGAACCTTTGCCACTAGCAAAGAGGAAGAAAATGGGTAAAAACTCAGTAGAGGAACGCTGTATTGATTCAGACTAGATGGTTAATATGTGCTAAGAAGCGAACTGACAACACCTATAACCAAAACTATTAGTTGAAAAATGTGTGATGGGGTTCGAAATCTGGACTTTTTTCACCTTACTAAAGACTCACTTACTTTGATCTTATAATTTCAGATACCACCTTCTCAAATGGTAATGCTGAAGCCTCAAAATCTTCCTGTGATACTGCAAACGGAATCAAAAACCTCAAACGGCCCACAACCACTAAGAGAGCTTTGCCAGCCAAAATCCAAAGGAAAGGTAGGTTGGCACTGTACCATACTGTTCTGATATGTGGAGGTATTTCGTCGTACTGTTATGTGATTTGCTGCTGAAGGGTTTCACGGTCTAGTGTGTTTAATAACTTGGACTATTTGGGAGTTACTTACCTTTTCACTATCACATTCTTTCCGAAGCTGCAGTGCTAGCCAGTACTCCAGCTGAAATCCCACCATCCTGTGCTGCTGTTAGCGGAGCCAAAGCCCTGAAACTGCCTGCGACCAGCCATAGAACGCCGTTTGCTAAACCTAAAAGCCGTGGTAAGTTGCGGGTGCTCAGGGAAAATACAGCCTTCTTCTAGCTGCGGCCTTGAGCTTTTGGCTATAATCTCTCATTCTGATGCTGAAGTTATGCTTGTCCATTAAGGAATGAGGAAAAAAAATATACAGGTGCAGCTCAATAAATTAGAATATCGTGGAACATTTTAAAAATCTGTTTTTCTATTGGTCCTATGTAATATTCTTATTTTCTGATATACTGAATTTTGGGTTTTCATTAGCTGTAAGCCGTAATCATCAAGATTAAGACAAATATACGCTGGAAATAGTTCACTTTGTGTGTAATGAATCTATATAATATGAGTTTCACTTTTTTTTAATTGAATTACTGAAATATTAACTAACTTTTCCAGGATATTCTAACTTATTGAGATGCACCTGTATGTGTTTATGACAAGATGATATCTATCAAGGAAGCAGAAGCGTTACACAGAAGTTATACATGAGGAAGTCACCATCACTTATCCAAGTCTGGTTTACAGAAAAATAAAAAGATAAATAATTTGACACTGTCCTTATCCTGCTTAATGTAATGATTTCATTTGTATTACAGGCTGCGCCAACTGTGCTGCGCTACAACAGCAACTGAAAATGGCGTCGGAAGAAATAAGGAGACTAAAAGAAGGTAAGACTTTACTATGTGGTTTTAGGTAAATACAGTTTATTGCAAATGCGTTTTAAAAAAAAAACATGCTGTAATGTTCTGGAATTGAAAAAATATCAGTGATTTTCACAATCCTTTAGGTCAGGGGTTCCCAACCCCCGGTCCGCTGACCGGTACCGGGCTGCGGAGGTGTTACTGCCGGGCCGCGAAATAGCTGTGAGTTGATCGTAATATTTGCAGAATTATAAATATATAAAAATATTTTATCATAATATGTTTTTCAAAAAGTGTTTAATTTTCGCACCTATGCCACCAGTCATATTATTTCATCCAGTAGCTAGTTAATCTTTCACCAGAAAACGGTTGAAAATGGCTTTTATGATGTTCCGAGGGATTCGGCGGCTCAGCCTAAGGTCTCAGCCTCTTGTGCGCACGAGCATGTTACCGGTGCGCCAAGTAGGAAGAGGAGCGCACAGGAGACAACCGTTTGATTGCAGACTGTTATGTTTATGTGGGGAAATGGTGGTGCATACATTATTTGAGATATATTTCAAACTCGGACTTCATTTTAAGGACATGTCGGCCAGGGGTGCTGTGCCTTTTTACGCACCGCCTTCGCTGTGTTTAACTTAATCAGAACAGTTTAAGAGTGACTGCAGGCTGCTACGTGTTAACCACACACACATCTACACACATCGAACTGCCCGATTACTCCCCCTTTTATTAGTTTTATGAAGGAGATGTCCAGTCAGTCACCAAGGCGCATGATGTGTGTGTGTATGTGCTCTGCTCAGCTCAGCTCTGTGTTCGGTGTGTTTGTGTCTGTCCGACAGCGGCATATATGCGGCTGTTCCCAAAATAAATTAGTTTAATCTTAATCTCGATGTAGTGCTATGCTGTCGGGAGTGCACCGGAACGAACGACACTATCATAATATCTTCTGAAAACAAATGCCAGTGACACACACACACACACACACACACACACACACACTCACTCTGGCGACCAGACATCTCCTTCATAATGCGCCTTCTCCTCGTTTTCCCAGCATTCACTGGATTATCCGTAAATCATACAAACAAAACCAAAACGTTGATTTATCTGTTTTCCCGTTTTTTTCCGAAAAACCAAAAACAACACCGGTTCTTTTTTAAACTTTGTTAATATGTTTTGGATGCATATTGTTCTAGTATTTGTTCAGGCTGTTACATACAATTAGCCTCTGTTGCTACCTGCTGGTGGTGAGTAAATATTAAAATCAGTTAAAATTGACAACCGGTCCGCGATTTTTTTTTAATGTATCTACCGGTCCTTGGCACAATAAAGGTTGGGAACCCCTGCTTTAGGTGACGTTTTTTTCTACCAATTCTAAAATAGTTGCCTAAGTAATGGCATGTTTTTTCAGAGTAGTGAATTGCTCTCATTTCCAACGTTTTTCTTTATGATTTTTAGGCAAATGTAACTCAAAAGCTAGAGTGAAACTGTATTGTGTCCCATAAGTCTTTAATGCAAATGTCCTTCTTTCCAGAGCTGCTGAAGAAAAGTAAAGAAGAAGAAGAATGCTAGAATATACAGAACATAATATAACAATTGTTTATTAATGAATGACAACTTGTGTTTTTAAATTGTTTGTTCAATAAAGTGCCATGTAATTTTAATACAAAAAAAAGAAGGTGTGGTGAACTTAACATTTTGCCCGCTTGGTTGCACCATAACCCGGGGTCTGTCTCTCTGTATATCTGCCGGCGAACATCCTTTTACGTTGTAGCTCTAAACGTCACTTCCTTTCCTGACTTAAATGCCCGGCAAGGCTGTTGCACGCATTTAATTTGTAGCCACTTTACAGCCAAACTGGATTTTATAACCACCCAAAAGAGACAGACACAACACAGGGTAACTTTCACAAGGACGTAGGTGAGTCGGTCTCAACATTTGACTACACTTTGGTTTGTATAATCTGTCAATAATTTCACAATCTTTTTGTTTTTTTAGGGTTTGGGGCAGGGTTTCCTGTTTTGAAAAAGACACAACGGGTTGAGAGGGATGAAAATAGCCCAGACACCGTCTCTCAGGTAAACTTTCAATACCACAGGTTTATTTGAAAACGACCATATGGAATGTGTGTGTGTTTATTATTATTATTGTTATTTACTGTATTTAAATGTCACAATGTCAACAGGAGCCGGAGGAGAAGAGTGACACTCCCAAACAAGATGAGGCACAACAGAAACCTAAATGGATGCCACCAAGACATCCGGGGTAAAAACTCAGATAAATCTCAGATTATTGATGTTATAATATTCACAAAAGAGGCTCACTGTGGTTAGACATTTTCTGATTTCTTTATTTTGTGTGTTCCCAGATTCGGAAACTCACTGATGTCCGAGCTGAAGACCAAACTGAAAAAAATCACGAAAGAATGACATGTGGATGAATTGTAATGCTTTATATGAATGTTTGGATATAATATACAAATTTATTTATTTTTTATGTATTTATGAAACTCAATGCAGTGATGAAATGTTCATCACATTCATTATGTGCCTTAATTTTTGTATGTTTTGTAATAAAGCTTATCTGAAAAAAAGAGTATTTGTTTCTACAGCTCTGGGGTGCAAAGGGAAATAATAAACTTCTGAAGTCCATCGTTGAAACTCTGGGGGTGGATGGTGGAAAACATGAAATCAAACAAAGTTTTGAATTTGCTCAGAGCCTCAAGTCATATATGTGCATTACATCAGAGTTGGTTCAATTTAAAGGTTTTATTTGCATATGCACAGTAGCTACAGTGTAGTTATGGCAATGAATAGCTCAATTCCCAGTCTCCTTCAACCATGCAACATAAATATATGTATGACCTAATACAACAAAAGTGTGCAAAAAGAGACAGAATAGAAATAAATTAGTGCAAGAGAATGTTGCAAGTGAAGTGACCAATATGCAAGTATTACAGGAGAATAGACAATATACATGTAAGATAGACTAAGATAAGCTAAATAACTTAAAGTGTGGCTGATATTTGTATACATTGATTTGGGCACATACTCAATATGTTTTTTAGTCGAGTTTTGTTGAGACAGTAGATGTCAGTATTGCTGCATCACATGGACATCATTAAACGCACGAAGAAGAATCATTCAGCTGTGATTGGTTAGAATCATCCAATGAGTGCGAAGTGTTCTGACATTTAAAGAACCGGGGTGGCGCTCCAGCCTGTGGTTGTAAATTCATGACATTCCGATGTTTGTTCAAAAAAATGGTCGTCACCAGTTGAAGAGTTTGTTTTAAAAGACTCACAAATAAAGGAAAAAGGTTTGGAGACTTTTCCCAGAGACAACGCTCCCTTCAGCAGTGGCTGTTGAGTTAGGTAAGTCAAAGTCGTTTCCGTCAAACTGTCGTTCCTATGCTACTATTAGCTTCGCTTCGTTCGGGACCTTCTCATGCTTCAGGCATAACGTCTCTACTGTAACTTCTTGACATAAAATGTACGAAACAAGATGTGTCAATGGTTTATTTTAAATGCCATGTTGTGTATGTAAACTGCGCTGCCTGAGACGCTTCTCTGCTGGTCGAAATTGCAATGTTATTGTATCTAGCAAATGAAATGTTTTCCGGCGAACTAAACGGAAGTGAAAATACATCACAAAGTGGTGGTCAGTGGTCAGTTGGCTTTATTGAATAGTGAAAAGTGTTTTTGTTTTCATCTATATTGATGTACGCAATTGCTTTTTACTAAGAAGTCTATACATTAAAAGTGGGTTTTTTCAACTTGTGTTAACACCAACACATAAATAATAATATTACATACATTTGGAGGCACCTTCCATAACACCCAAGGACACTTTTCAATTCATAAAATATTCTCAAAAAGGCAAAAAACATTCAAACCAGACAGAAACACAAACATGTTAAACATACAAGAGGCAGAGTAGACAGACCCAAGAAAGGGGGGCAAGGACAATACTATTTAGGGAAAAGGGCCATGTACACCTTACATTGTGATCTTGTGATGTCAAATCTAAAAGGAATTCTGACCATGTTTTCATTCACAGGCTGCATGCACAGAGAGGCTGAGAGGACACCTGAAAAAATGTCTGCTTGGCAATCAGTGCGCGGCTTGGATGCATTGCTGGAAGAGGAATGCTTGCCAGAAGTTACGCTCCTTGATGATACATGTGACTCATTTCTTTCTGGTAGCATGCCAGCTACTCCTGTGACCGCTGGGTCTTTGAAAAGCTGGATTACTTCTCTCCAGCTTTTCCCAACTGACTTCATCCCCAAATTCAAACACCAAGACTGAAATAATCCGCCCTCTGAATAAGAGCATGGACAGATACTTCCCAGATATTACTCTTCTTGATGTTACGCGGGATTCTGAGCTATCACAAGTAGAGGACTTATCCTCCACGGACGTGACACAGGATAAAACACCAGTGGCTAATCTGGAAAGCAACCAGCCTCCCTCAGAGTTCAGCGAACAAAGTGGGACAGAGCCTGACAGGTCGTATATGGTTCCAAGAGAAGAATTGCCAAGTACTAGTACTATTACTGGACATGTCACCCACACCACAATCTCCTTTAGCGAAAAATCTGATAAAAGTGTGGGGGGAAACAGAACGCAAACATCTCTGGAAGTAACGCAGGATATTTCTTCAAGCAGTGTTTTTGAAAACAGTAGGCCCTCATTGGAGCCCATCGGATCAAACATGGTGAAGATTGAAACATCAGCTGAAAAAACATTTGGCACCCATCCTGCTAATGTCACACATGACTTAAGCTCCTCGAGTGACATGTCTGCTCAGTGTGCTGCATCACAGCTCTCTACCTCTGATGGGAAATGCAACACTAGTTTAAAGAACGTCACCTCTGAGCTTCATGTTGAACCTGTGCTTGACTGTAATTCTGTGGAAGCCAATGACAAGTCACTTACCAACCATGATGCTGAAGTGACGACCAAGGAGACACAACCAAGCCCAAAAACATCTGGGTCTGCTAACGGCACGTTTACCTCCCTCCAGCCCTCGCAATCGAGTTCCTCTATGGATCTAAACGCCACTGCCGAAATAACTAGCCCTCAGAACAAGACTCTGGATCTCCCTCCATCTGATGTAAACAGCTGCAAAGCGAAGAGTCAGGTTACAGTAGACGCTACTTCAGTCATTAACAACACCATCGAAGGTTCCCAGAATCCAAATTATTCCGCTGTAAATGCCAGTGGTCCCGGTAACATGGTGAACGTCACTTTTCCCCGACATTCTCTTAAAACATCAAGTGCCGGTACCATTTTAGTGGAATCTGGTGCAGGAACATTTTGCCTCGAAAACAATACTTTCGATGCTAAACTTCTCCCTAAGCAGAACGGCACAATGACTTTGTCAGAATCAGGCCCACGTGACAGTCACCAGAGTACTTTTGACAAGCCCTCTCTTAATGCAACCAGTAGCCCTAAAGCAAACACTTCTAATGCACAACGTCCTAAACTGGTAGAACAGAATAGGACTACAGATACAGACCCTATTGCCAAGATGGCTGCCACCCCTGAGAGCAAGTTGGAAGCCTATACAGCTGTGAATTCTGGAGTTGATCGACGTAGAACTCAGGACCTTTCACAATCGGGTCTGCCTGTGATGGATGGTTTTTCCGACAGTTTGGCCCATCAAGGCATGGATACGTTCAACTTGGATGATACCCTTGATTTGAAGGTGAAATCTTTGATCACTTCAACCCCAATGCCTTCAAAAGAAGAGGGCAAAATCTTAGGGGGAGTGAAAAAACTGTATGAGGATGGTCCCATTAAACCGGATGGTCAAGTGCCGTCTGAGGTCCCATCGAACCCCGTCTGTGACCGGAAAACTTTCATGGAGCTTGTAGCTGCAAAATCCCTTTTGCCTCCTTTGAAAACTGCATCCCAGTTGTTCAAACACAAGACAGCCTCCGCGCTTCCAGGAAGGTTTGAGGCGCGGCCATTCGGACAGATTATGACGAGACAAAGAGCAGAGGCTCTTAGAAATACTGCTGCTGCTGCTGCTGCTGCTGCTGCTGCTGCGGATCCTCCACAGGTAGTAGAACTTGAATGGCTTTTTGTTTTCCACTATGTTTACAAAATGTTAACTGCACATTCGGTCAGATAAAAGCAATCAAATGAACTCAATTGACCATGTTAGATTCATCTGTTAAATCCACTTTTTTCATAAACAAGACTGAACAAAAGCTATAACTGCATGGAAGGCTAACAGTCTGTTTCTTTTTTATGTTCTTAAGACTGCAGGAATACCAAGCTCATGCAAGTTACGTGCAACAACAGGTAGGTGGTGTCTATTTTATTTTTAGAATCGGGTTGGAACATTGCATTTTGTTCTTCATAAATGTTGAGGGTGAATTATTAATAGTATGGGATTATAATGGAAGGCATTAAATGTTAAAACGTTATGTATTATTTGTAGACAAAGCAGTATACTTTTGTTTCATTGTGCCGCCCCCCATTATTAACTTCAAGTCTAACTTTAAGCTGCAAACAGTATAATGCCCTTCAATATAAGATGTTCTGTCTGCACCGTATTCACTATAAACACTGTCTTTCCTCTGTGTTGATGTTAGGATCCAAGCAACCCAATTCCGGCTTGCAGAGGCCGCAGTTGAGTGGAATACCGACCGGGATCCAGAGAGCTGCGACAGGTCTCAGACCACTATCCATGAGAAACGACACATCATCTTCTTCAAAGCAGCCATTAACCAGAGGTGAACCTTTGCCACTAGCAAAGAGGAAGAAAATGGGTAAAAACTCAGGTAGAGGAACGCTGTATTGATTCAGACTAGATGGTTAATATGTGCTAAGAAGCGAACTGACAACACCTATAACCAAAACTATTAGTTGAAAAATGTGTGATGGGGTTCGAAATCTGGACTTTTTTCACCTTACTAAAGACTCACTTACTTTGATCTTATAATTTCAGATACCACCTTCTCAAATGGTAATGCTGAAGCCTCAAAATCTTCCTGTGATACTGCAAACGGAATCAAAAACCTCAAACGGCCCACAACCACTAAGAGAGCTTTGCCAGCCAAAATCCAAAGGAAAGGTAGGTTGGCACTGTACCATACTGTTCTGATATGTGGAGGTATTTCGTCGTACTGTTATGTGATTTGCTGCTGAAGGGTTTCACGGTCTAGTGTGTTTAATAACTTGGACTATTTGGGAGTTACTTACCTTTTCACTATCACATTCTTTCCGAAGCTGCAGTGCTAGCCAGTACTCCAGC